ACCGGCTCCACTTCCACTGTCCCATCTTCTACCAATTCCGCTTCCACCGGCTCCAGTTCCACCACCTTCTCTTCTACTGGTTCCACTTCCATCACCACCTCCTCCACCAGCTCCACTTCCACTGTCCCATCTTCTACCACTCCCTCTTCCACCAGCTCCTCTTCCACCATCTTCTCTTTCACTGGCTCCACTTCCACCACCTCCTTTTGCACCAGCTCCTCTTGCACTGGCTCCTCTTCCACAGCTGTCTCCTCCACTTTCACCACCTCTGCCTCTGCTTCCACCAACTCCACCGTCTTTTCCTCTTCCTCCTCTGCTGCTTTTTCCTGCTCTGATTCCTGGTAGATTCCCTCTTCTCTTCCTTCTACTGCAAGCAAGATCTCCACAGGTTTCTTAGGCGGCTCTTCCTGTTGTTCATTTACTCCTTGGCTGGGGATGCCAGTGACATCCTGGCTGCTGGGGTGTGGAGGCTCCATGGCCTGATTGCTGTTGAGACTACGTGACTTCATAGATTCTGTGTTGGGGGTCCTCTGTGATCCTGAGCTCAGGGACAGAGCTTGGAATGAAGATCCTAAAAGCTATAAAGGAATAGGTCAAAAAGGAAGTCAGCAGTGGAAGAATTTAATGCTGAGGTTTAAGTAATGATAGGAACTACATGCTTGACTTTAAAAGTAATCTACACTTAAGGACTCTTGTCTGCCTCGAAAATTCCTCTTCACTCATTTGTTCTCAGTCTAAGACTACCAGCTCCATGAGGCCTCTAAAAATTCCCCAGAATACTGAAGTTTTCTTTTTCTATTATAATATATACATTTTTATCACTTCAGTCTATCATTGTACTGTTACTGCTGGTATGCATGCTTGTCTTTCTGCTAGGGCCAAAAAAAAAAAAAGCAATAAAAATATAAAAATATTCATTTTTCTTACATTATATTTATTATAAGTAGATCTGACGAGAAAGATAACTGGGCTGATGTAGGGCGACTTTATCCATTTCTAGAACAATCTTTATGGGCAGAAATATAACTGAGTTGTGGAACATGGGTGGAGAGGCCAAATAAATTTGATTAAAGAATTCCTGTTCTTCCAAACCACCCATTGCCACCTCTCATGACACCTGTGTTGGATTAATTTGGGAAGTACTATCCTCCACCATGATGGCAAATGTCACCTATGTAAAAATCTTATTTGTGTTGACATAGGAAATGAAATTTACATGACTTTTACCCACTCATTGTCACTCATATGATAAAAATAACAAGATCATATGGCTCAGCGCTCCTAAGAGTCAGTTCACATTGTCAGTTGTCAACCTATTCTTCCATTACAGAGGAACCAAAATGGAATTATTCTATCTTGGGGGGCACTAACATTTTTGTTTTGACTAAATCTGGACAGGAAAATGCTCTCCTCTGCCTTAGGTATACCACCCAGGTGTAATTATAGATACAAACAGCTGCCGGTGATCTCATACCAATTTTGGAAAAACCAGTGTGAGCTTAAACTAGCCAGACTTTGTATATAAAAGTCCTGATTATAAACTCTAGGAAAGGGTGCACTATTCACTATCACACACAGCTAAGCGTCTACTTTAGATGGTCATAGGGCATTTAATTGCTTACCTTATTGGAGACCTCAGTGTGCATTGGCTGCATGTGATTATATAATCAAAGAAGATGGAGGCATGAACTAGCTAGTAGAGCCCTCTTTTAATACCTACATCTAGGTTAATTTAAGATGATTTGCATTGTTTACAACCTCAAAATAAATTTATCTATACTATCTTATAAACAAGTAACATTATAGTTCTACCTCTATTTAATGTGACTACATTAGAATAATATATGAATTCAGTTTGGGATATGGGACAAATATTCCATCTCCCTTTGCCTGAACTGCTTCAGTTACAGAATAAAGATAGTCCTGGCCCCTGTCTCACGAAATTGTGGCTAGATTTCATGAACATTAGTTCATATCTAAAGTACTTAAAATACTACTAGAGACAGAGTAATGCTGTGAAACTACAAGCAAATTTATTAACCTCAGAGCTTCACCATTCCCTTAATATGCTTATGCTTCTTTTGACTCTAAGAGACTAGCTGTTAGGAACTGGACTACTGTCCTAGCTACTCAACATTGTGCTTTACTTTCTAGCACTATATGATGTGATGGGAGTCACCAAATGCGGAGATTTACTGAGGGACTGGATAAGGGCAGTAATAAACCAGGCCTCGCATCCAAAGGTGATAAGGCGGTAACAAACTGGGACTTGCATCCAGGTTGGGACTAGCTGAAGGTGATAACTGGCCTCACATCCAAGTTTGATAATTAACTGGGCCTAGCATCAGGGGGCACGGCGATGAGTCACCCCTTTGGAATGTGAACTTAGAATCTATATCAGAGACCCTTCCCCCCTATAGGGTTGGCAGTAGCTGCGGACCCCACCCTAGGGGGCTCCGTCTCAGCTGCTGTCCGGGAACAATAAACTGCTTGCTCAGCCTTTCTGCCTCCCGCCTTCCTTTCTTGCGGCCAGTCACAGAAGTTGGGGCAAAACAATAAGAAACTCTAAGATATCATTTCTGTAGGCATATTGGCAAAAATTAAAATGTGTTGGCAAGAGTATAAGAGAAACATTTTGTAATGCTACAACTGGCATGATTTTGTAGGAAAACGACAGTATCTAACAAAAAGTGTGTGTACATCTTTGAGCAATTCCATGTAAAAGGATTTACCCTATGAAAATAATCAAGTAAATGCACTAAGATGAAAGGATTTTTGCCATATTGTTTGTATAGCAGAAATAGGAAGAATCCCAAAGATGCTTATTATTCACTCAATGGAAACAGAGGTAGACACCATGGAAAGCTGTACAAGACCTAGTGCTAGGGGAAAGAACAAGATGCAAAATAGTAACACATGATGGTAACATAATCTAAAAGTTCTCATATAAATGTTAAACATAACACGGCTGCCCGCCCCTCCCACCCACCTACCCCCCCTGCAAGAATATAAATAAACTGCTCATAGTGATACACTCTGGGGGTATCAAGAGAGAAGGAAATGCCTGTACTTTCATTGTCTATTTTAAGCCTGTCTCAACTGTTTAAAAGATATTAGAAGGTAACTACATTTTTTTCATAGTGAAACAGACAGACTTCTGCTAAACCTTAATTAAAATGGGTTCCCACTGTTAAGTTTTTTTCTTAGCTTTATATGTTAAACTATCTTAAATAATTTTTTAAAAAAATTACAGACTTCTCCAGCATAATAAGGTAGGATGTTTGTTTAGTTCCTAAACATATGAAAACTGAGGAATAATCATTTATCTTATCGTTGTACTGATTATGTATTTCACCAGAGACAAATTTCAGTCTTCTTAATGTTTGAATAATTTGTTTTCTTCCTATCATTCCCCTCCCAGGTCAATGAAGAACCCACACCCAAGGCTTTTTGTGGGCGCCAAGGAGTTTCCCCAGCAATGGTAGCTCTGCAGTGATTTGGACTTAAGACATTAAGAAGCACAATTTCTGACACCTCCAGAGATGGGGGAGGGCATACCAGAGGGAAAACGTTCTGATGAGAGAAATGAAGACTTTTTTAGCATCGCCTAAAAAGCTGTCTCCAATGCCATGTCTCCTCCTCTCCCCATGTTCTAGCTGAAGGCTCACTTGGCATCGTAAGGGTGTTTCCTCCAGGACTTTCCTCACAGACACTCCACTTCCTAAGCTTTTTCTGCTCTCACCCTTCACTGACCTACCATTTTGGATGTCTTAGCTAAAACCCCCCCACGGCAGTGAGACATTTAGTATTTAAGTCTCAGTAGAGATGAGTCACCTCCCTGCCTACAAATTCCCTTTGTGCACCTTGAAGACCTTCATTTCCTGGTTTCTACTGGGTAACTTTTTCATCCCTATTTCCCAAAGACCATGTAGCCCTTCTCAGTTTCCAGTCTGAAATATATATGGCCTTCATTCTGTCAAGACTTTAGACAACTGAACTTGCTCTACTAGACCCCAATGATATAAGAACAAATGACCTTAATTTAAAATAAAATAAACTTGCCCTACTAGGTATCCAAGTCTTATTTAAACCCAGGGGGTTATGTTCATCTCAGAAAAAATGCATTAGCGGGTTTTTTTTTCAGAGAGGGGAGACATTCACTTGCTAAAAGTTGTTCTGGGTGTCTGTATCAAGAGACTACAATCTAAAATGGAAGGGCGGGAGGGAGCGTATTCAACTTCATAGTAAAAATGCAACATGAGGAAAAATAAAGGCATCCAGACTAGAAAAGGAGAGCTATGAGAGTAACTATAGTCAGATTCCAAGATAGTATATGTAGACTACTCTCTCAATCTAAAAATATGGGACTTTAAGAACTAATAGAGTTTAGGAAGGTTGCAGTACACAAAATGTAAGTCAGCTGTGTTTTTACATAGTAGCAGTGAACAACTGGAAACTTAAAAAGCGCACAATTTTAAAATACATTTGATAAGTCAGAAAATATGAAAGACATGGGTAAGTAAATCTGACAAAAGATGTAGAAAGCTGAACGCTGAAAATCAACAATCTTTGCAGATTTAAATTAATCAAGAATAACCTAAGAGAAAAACACCTAATCTATAGAGAAAGATGCTTTAGTGACTTAACTGTGGTCCCCCAAGATATGTATAGTCCTAACCCCTATTACTTGTACACCACTTGTTTTTGGTGGTGTGGGGAGGGGGGGGTTCTTTGCAAATGTAATTAAAGAATCTTGAGATGAGATCATCCTGGGTTAGCTCTAAATTCAACAATTCAACGACAATTATCTTTATCAGAATAAGATACAGAATAAATAAAGAAGAGACAAGGGGGAGAAAGTCTGGAGAGGTGCAACAGTCCAGACAGAGATCAAACTAAGCAATACCTGGAGTAACAAGCTGGAAAACGCAAAGACGGATTCTCTTCCAGGGTGAGAGGTGGAACAGT